AACTCATCGGTGAAAAATCGATGAATGGATCGAATTTCTATTTTATTGCAAGAATTTAATATCGAAAAAAATTATTCATATTAAAGGTCAACATAATTGTTTAGCTGATTATTTATCTCGTCATCCAATACAAAATGATGAAGAAATATTTGATGAGGATTATAGCATAAGCATGTTATTTCAGGGGGAACCACCAGAGACGGTGCATGCTCCTGTCAATCATCCTCCAGTTATTGGTGCTGTTGTTACGCGTTCAAAAATGAAACAAATACAACAACAACAAAATGAAAATGACAAAATTACACCACACACTGTAAATAATATATCAACGGCGTCAAGTAAAGACAAAATTGAACATTCAAATAAATCTCCATCACACTTAATTACGTCTAACAATTTTGATATAACTCAAATTAAACTTGAACAGTCAAAAGATTCAAATATTCAGAAGAAGATTAAAGAAGTTATGCAAGATCCAACAAAACATTCTTATGTAGTTACAGATGGTTTATTATATAAATTGGTATTAATGAATGTTGCTAGTAATAATAATAAGAAAGTAATTTACTTACCTTCAGCCATAATCAATTCCCTCCTGCACTCATACCACAATGATTCACTTAGTGGTCATTTTGGCATTCAGCGAACATATTTAAAAAATTAAAAAATAAATTCTGGTGGCCAAATATGAAACAATCAATTATTCAACATATTCAATCTTGTTTACCTTGTCAACAACATAATATTAGTCGTACAAAGAAACCAGGTCGACTTAATTCAATTCCAACTCCAGAGGAACTATTTCAATTAACAGGTATTGATTATTGTGGTCCGTTCAAACCAACACCTCGGGGGTAAACAATATGTATTATGTATTACTGATTATTTTACAAGATGGATGACTGCAATAGCTTTACCTGATTGTTCAGCACAAACCATGGTTCAAACATTATTTAATAATTATATTTGTCCATATGGTGTACCATTAGCTATATTATCTGATCAAGGTACTCATTTTAAAAATCAATTTATGGAATCCATAGCAAAATTAATTGGTTACAATCATATTTTTTCAAGTGTTTATCACCCACAAAGTAAGGAAATGATTGAACGTTTTAATGCGACATTCGTTCCTCAAATTGTCAAACTTCAAGATCTTGAAAATAACAATTGGGATGAATTCTTATCACCAGTGGTATTTGCTTATAACACCAGCATCCATGCAACGACTAATTATTCACCGTTTCAATTACAGTTTGGTTGAGAACCACGTTTACCTACTAATGAACCTTCATCAGCATTTACTTTCAATAAACCAAATGATTATTATGTACAATTGAAAAAAAATCTGTTGATAATACAACAACACGCACGTGATAATATTATTCGTCGACAACGACAATACAAGATTAATTATGATAAACAATGTCCAGATCCACATTATGAAATCAATGATCCAGTACTGATTAAAATTCATGGAATAAAGAAAAAATTAGAACAAAAATATTCGATTACACCAAAAATAATTATTAGGAAACAACATCCAATTGATTGGGCCAAACATGAAAAAACACAGGTCGAATCCAGAGTACATGTTAATGATATTCGACCTATCCTTATTTTAAAATCAACATGATATATTATTGTTTAGTTATTTGCTAATATGATCATTAAATATTAATGTTATGTTATGTTTATAGTGATTCGATGTTTGATCGTCTTTGTTGTATGAGCAACGACTTAGTTGAACTAACATCGATTCGTTATGCTTGTGAACATATTGATATTTTCATTAGCGCGCATTAGTTATCAATATAATTATTATTTGCATATGGTTAGCATTAACAAATATTGGTTATTACAAATACAAAAAAATTACACACAGGAAATCTTCTCTTTCAGAAGTATTTCTGTTTTCAACAAACAAAGTTATTTATGTTTTAACTTTACACATATTACATATTTTATTAATATACTAACGATATCTATGTATGCAATCTTGATAGGTTTATTCGTCAGAACGAGTGATAAATTATATGATTTATTTGTTTACCTTATTTATATTATTCTTTTTTTCTCTTCACTTATTTTATATCAATTTGTTTAATCTTCTTTTCTTTAGTCATTATAATGTCAGATGAATTTGTTTCATATCATTTATGTGATATTAACAATCCTCCAGCTCATCTTGATGACAATCAAAAATCGAATTGGATACGTGCTACAAAAAAGGTGAAAAAAAA